CACCAGCATCCCCAGAAGGTGGCAGCTTGGGGGGGCCGGGCTAGGGATGCAGGAAGTGACGGAACCCATAGCCACGGTCGTCGGCACACCCCCATGCGGGGAGAGGCCCTGGGGGTGCCATGCCACGGGGTCCCAGCCCGGGCACTGACGGCCGCTCCTCCGTCCACAGAGAAGTACGCCCAGCACTGGTGCTCGCGGCTGACCCACGCGGAAGGCCCCTTCGCCCCGTGCCACGCTGTCGTGAACCCCGGCGCCTACTACGCGGTACGGCCCTGCCTCTCTGCCGTGGGCCCGAGGCCGCCTTCGGGGAGGACCGGGGAGCGCGGCGGGGGGCTCAGCAGGACGGTCTTCGCCAGGCCGGGAGGGCCGGGAGGGCCGGGAGCTGGGGCGAGGCTGCCTCTCGGCCCCGCCCCGCCCCTCGGCGTCACTCACTCGTTCACTTTCTCGCTCATTCACTCATTCACCCGTTAATTCACTCATTTACTGATTCACTCACTCACGCATTGACTCACTGTCTCACTCATTGGCTCTCATTCATTCACCCACTTAGTCACTCACTTCTTCAGTTACTTATTTACTCATTCATGGCTCACTCTCCCCCTCATTTACTCCCTCAGTCATTCATTCACTCACTCATTCATTCACTCGCTCATTCAGTCACTTATTCACTTTCTCCTTCGCTCACCCCAGTCGCTCATTCACCTATTTATCCACCCACCCACGTGCTCATTTACTGATTCATTCACTCACTCACTGACTCTCACTCATTCATTCACACACTCAGTCACTCCCCTCCTTCCTTCCTTGTTTACTCACCACCCACCCACTCACTCTCATTGGCTCACTGCCCCGCTCATTCATGCATTCACTCACTCACTCACTCATTCTTGCGTCGGCTCACTCATCCACCCGCACTCTTCCATAGTCACTCATTCATTCACTCTCTTACTCACTCACTCATTCACTCCCCGTGTCTACTGAGTTCGTCTCTGGCCTCTGGCCCTGCCCGGGCCCAGAGCTAAACCCTGAGAGCTTGTGGTCAGCTGTGCCCTGGAGGGGCCACATGGGAGCTGGGTGGAGGTCGAGCTGATGCTCTGTGCAGAGGCAACCATGTGGGGGCACCTGCTGGGTCACACGGACAATGGGCCGTGGTCCCCCGGGGCCCCCCGCGAGGCCAGCTCCGTGAGGGCTCGCTGCCCTGTGCTGCGGTGTGCGGCCCTGCTGAGGGCTGGGGGACCCTGGCGAGGACCTGGGCGGGTCCTGGAGGTGGGAAAACGGAGGCACCAGGCAGGGCCTGGCTGCTGGACAACTCGTGTGTGGGCGGGGGTCCCTGACGGCCGCCCCTCCCCCAGAACTGCATGTTCGACACGTGCAACTGTGAGAAGAGCGAGGACTGCCTGTGCGCCGCCCTGTCCGCCTACGTGCGCGCCTGCGCCGCCAAGGGTGTGCTGCTCCGCGGCTGGAGAGACGGCGTCTGCAGTGAGTGCCCCGGCCTGGCAGCCCCCTCACTGGGGGCCCGGGTCCCAAGGTTCCCGTGTGAGGAGCTGCTTCTAAGCCCTGTCCCCACACCCGGCTCAGAGGCCGCGGAGCACCAGCCAGCGTGACCTGGACCCCCCGAGGAGCATGGAGGGAAGCCGGGGAGATTGGGCTCGCCCGGCATGGGCCACTCCCCCGGGGTGCCCACCGGCATCCTGAGCGTCCCCTTTCTTGGCACCCGCAGCGAAGCCCATGACCACCTGCCCCAAGTCCATGACCTACCAGTACCACGTGAGCACCTGCCAGCCCACCTGCCGTGCCCTGGGTGAGCCCGACGTCACCTGTGGCGTGGCCTTTGTGCCCGTGGATGGCTGCACCTGCCCCACGGGCACCTTCCTGGATGACGCGGGCAAGTGTGTGCCGGCCACCAGCTGTCCCTGCTACCACCAGGGCTCCGTGGTCCCCAACGGGGAGTCAGTGCACGACAGCGGGGCCGTCTGGTGAGAGCCCCCACCGGAGGGGGGTGTCCCTGGGCTCTGGCCTGGACCGGTGCTGACCTCCCTCTCCTCGCAGCACCTGCACACAGGGGAGACTGACCTGCATCGGCGGCCCCGTCCCCGCCCCAGGTGAGTCCAGCAGACCCCTAGCCCCTGGGCGAGGCCGGCGGCTACTTTTCAGTTTCTCTGTGCCAGGCGAGGTCGTGCACTCTGGGCTCCGTGACGGGCGGGGAGAGAGGGTGTGGGTGCACCGTGGACATGGACACACGCTCTCACATCTGCTCACGTGCACACATGCACACCATTCTCATATCCACTCACACACACTTGCACACATGCACAGACACACCCTCCCTGAACACGCATCGAGGCGTGGCAGCAGTGTGTGTTCCTAGCGGGAGTCTGGCAGGCAGGGCTGGGCCCTGACGGTGTCTCCTCCTCAGCATGCGCCGCGCCCATGGTGTACTTTGACTGCTACAACGCCACACCCGGGACCCCTGGGGCTGGCTGTCAGAAGAGCTGCCTCACGCTGGACATGACCTGTGTAAGCCCCCAGGCCCTCAAGGACCGGAGACTCTCATGATTCCTGCCGGCTGAGGAGTCCACAGAGACCCTCGGCCCCTTGTGGTGGTTCCCGGGGTGGGGGCTCCTGACCTCCTCCTGAGGGCCCCTGCCCACTCGCTTGTGGGCTCCCTGCTCCCGGGCCCAGGACAAGCGTCCCCGGGAGGACGCAGCAGGCCCCCAGCTGGTCCCCACACACTGTGTCTGCCGCCCCACAGTACAGCCCGCAGTGCGTGCCCGGCTGCGTGTGCCCCGACGGGCTGGTGGCGGATGGTGAGGGCGGCTGCATCGCCGTGGAAGACTGTCCTTGCGTGCACAACGGGGCCAGCTACCGGGCCGGCCAGACCATCCGCGTGGGCTGCAACACCTGGTATGCGGCTCAGAGACTCAGGGGGAGTGGTTCTCAGCACAGGGTCCCGGGCAGACACGCAGGGCACAGGCCAGGGCTGGACACCTGGCGGCCCCCCAGGGAGACCCAGGGGGCATGCCTCAGGGGCGCTGGGCCCTCCCAGGGTCTGAAGG